TCTTGCTCAACATTAATGATGTTACCTTTGTAGTGAAACTGGCCATCCTGACCATTTGCTTGTACTTTGTAAATGCGCATAGCGGGATGTACTCGTGCAATCAACATTTCTCAAGACAAATACAGCAAAACTGTTACTTCCATTGATAAACATTCCAACTAACCTAGGATGAAAGTAAACATTGAAATGTAAACAAAACAGTTACAAACAATTAACATATGTTTATCTTATTTAAATGAAACGAGATAAACCCATATGTCATAAACCCAATATAATTTTTCTTCCAACTTACATTAAAATAACAAGCGAAATTGCGTTACCTATAAAATAAAATCCAGAAGGAAATTTGCAAATATTTTTTTATCTAAACATTGTGCTCAGTATTCTTTAGCTGTTGGCCAAATTTCATATCAATTGGTCAATCCATTACATTCTGATGCTCTTACAAAGAAGTTACAAAGTGAGGGAAAGTGAGCTTCGCTCAATTAGGCATCTACGAAATTAAATGGTTTTGTGAGTTTTCAGTGGATTATCAATTATTGATGATTTCAAATTGAACAGCTGTGACTAGCTGTTTTATCTGTGCTTCGCAACGGAAAGAAATTTCAGTTTCGTAAAACGGGTGTCCGGGTGTTATTTCTTTTCTGGACATTTTACTTCGAGAGCTATTTTTCAGTCACGAAAAAGGCTATGTTGGCAGATGGGACGTTTCTGCTTGAGTAGTTCTTGAAGAGTTCAGGTGGAGTATCCAGTGTACATCCCTTGGCGTGTATGAGACAGACGACCTTGACCATGACCTTGACCGCAGATACGCTCGGCTGCCCCGCGTGTATCACTTACACTTGTTACCTGTTGTTGTGGTTGTACACTTGTACTAGACTGGATAATGTAGAAACTCATAGACTAGGTAGTATTTTGACTTTAACTTCAAATAGTGACAAACACAAATGTTTGGAGTTAGGCTACTGTACTATTGCATTTCGAAAGCTACTACATAGTCGCACGATAATTAACACTGTTCCATAGTTTAAGGGGAAGGTAAATATAAACCAGTGTAGAAATTATGTCCAGCTTTTCTTTAGCTAGGATAAAAAGCCCAATGATGGATAGCTGTTTCGTGTTTCGGACAAAAAGCGCTTTAAACGTATCACAAGAAACCATTGACTTTTGATATCTTAAGCAGACGAAGTAGATGCCTCCTTATTCGTATGTGTCAGCTGAAGCCACTGAAAAACCACTATACTACAGTACTAGGAGTGGCCTACACTGATAGCTTCCCAACTAATTTAAAGAAAAACATGCGCATTTTTGAAAATATACTATAGGAAATCACAACAAATTGACACGGACAAAACATATGGGCAAATGAACTATATTCTAAACTGGATCCTTTTGAGCACTTAAGACGAACAATTGTTCATGACCGCTAAAAATGTATTTATTTTCCCTATAACGGCGCGGTGACCAGCTGTTTGCTGTGGAGGCACGACAATGAATCGCAAGATGTTTACTGATATGACGGAGGCAGTACAGTAGTGATAAGGGCGTGTCATGTCGACACCAGCTGTGTGGTAATCTTATGATAACAACTCTCCCACTCCCACAGCATCTCTCTGTCTTGTTTCTATTTGTAGAACTGCCTTCTAGATCTCTTGATAACACTAGATAAGACCACTTTGTCGGCTTTGTTGCTTCATTTTGTTTTGTGGGTGGTTATGTTTGTTTTCTTAGTCGGGGGTTTTCTCGTTATTCATGACAAATCGTTTAAATATATTTGGTTGGATGCTGTTTGAAGCGTTATGAAAATACTATTTGGCACAATATGAAATATCTTTTGTACTTCATGTCCTGCAATACTCATTTAATTTGTTTAGGTTGTCTAATATGTTAATGCTGTTCTTTATTACTTGCTTGTTTTATTTCTTACCATCCTGATATTTTGTCATGCAATGAAAAATTGTAACTATATCAATTCCCTAAATCAAATTGTATTCTAATTTTGGTAAATAATAGCTACCAAATCACCAGTTACTCTACATAAAAACTCAACAATGGCCTGAGCTAAAAACTCACCATGGGGGTTTGGTTATGATTGAAATAAATTTCGTGACACCCTATTTAATATTTTCTTTCGAACGATAAAAAGGTTTAGGGCAAAGTTTGTTACAATTTTCTTATAATACTGCAGGATTTAAAAAGCCTTAATTAACTAATGGAAGACTAATATTTTTACACGTAATAAAAAATTACATAAATGTTAACAGTAAGATGTTGAAATACCCAATTTAGCAACAAAGTCAGACCATTCAACGTATTATATTTTGTCAGTAGCCACTGATAAAGTCAATGCCACTAGCCAGTGACAGATAGGAGCAAGTTACCAACTATTCACTGTCTCTCTCACTCATCTAATGTAACTACGGTGGTAGAGGCAGTGACAATGAAGATGTTAACAGAAGTTGTGTTGTTAGTTGCCAAGCAACGTCACGTATCTCCTCCCCTCTTCTCTCACCCCTACATTAACAGTAACCGCTATTAGCTCATACAGTACTACCTTGTAGAGCTCAATGTTAATTGTAACACAATGGGATGTATCTAGGATACAGACAGGGTTCCCACGGACCTAAAAAGTCAGGGAAACGGGTAAAATTTGTTTAAAAGGCCGCAAGTCAGTGTAAATTTTTAAATAGTTTTCAGGGAAAAACAAAAAAAAGTATTTTAACACAGGTTTTTTAAGCCATTGGCATGGCAGCTTTCACATATTTTCCTAAAGCACAGTCCAAACCCGCCCAAAATGTATGCATACAACTTGGTTTATATTTCCCTGAGTAGATAAATTATAATAAAAGGATTTTATAATTATTATAAAACCCTTTTTGTGAACGTTGATTTACAAACTCCCCAAGTTACAATAAAAAACGTTTGTAAGTGAAAAAATTAATTTTTTAAACCAATGTTGAATATGAATATCATCTAATTTAATCCAATTAGTTCCTATGTATTTACAAAGGTTATAATTGGCTTTTGAAGTCAAGAAATAATCCTTATTGTCGCTGTTTAAAGTTTTCCTTTGTATGAACCAACAATCACAACTCAAGGGCTCTTTGTTTTGTTGTTTTAGGATTATTGCTGTTGAATAATATTCCTATTCAAAACAACTCTTCTGCAATGTGTCTTGTAATTTAAGTGGAATAATGATTCTCTTCATTGTTAAAATAATTGCTTTTGGTGTAAAACTGAGCTATAATTGTGTTCTGGGATTGTAGAAAATGTTTAAGTATCTTCAGTCCTTATTACTCATGAATTATACGATTTTATGTTTTTTTTTTATGTTAGGCTACGTCAAAATTTCCTTAGTACTCATAACTATATTTTATGTCACTAATGTTACAATTTTAAATTCCTGTTTTTTTCTTATTCTCGGACGAGTAGTTAGGTAAAGAAGTGGAAATCCTTGTGGTAATCTGACGTCACAGCGACCATCCAATGATGTAGGTTTGATTAAATCCAGAGAAAATCTTCCCAGAAGTTCAATCTTACAGCAATCTGATAAAGTCAACTTCATCTAGAATAAGCATCCATGTCACTGATATAATCTCATCATAGAAGTTATTTTCAAATACTAATCTAACTATTTGTGAATTCATTTAGTAATAATTTTTTATGAACAAAAAAGTAAAATAAATACATTGTAATGATATCACTGTTATTCAAACAATATTAAAGTTTAAGTATAACTTAAAAACTCTGATAGGTTCTTCCTAGGTTCTTCCAAAATGGAAAACTATCAGTTTAAATTTAGTAGGCCCATGGCAATTTTTAATAACTTGTGATTGAAATATTGATTTGAAGATAAGTAAGAGATTTTTTTTTATAAGATAAGCGTGGATTTTTAAGGAAATTTAATTTGTTGTGGAGTTTATATTATAACGTTGAAAGAAATATGTCAGATAAATGAGCTGAAAACTCTTATAATTTTCTTCCAAGATAATGTCTTTGTCATAGAGGTTTAGAAAGGTTCTGTTTTAATGTCATGGAAATGTATTCATCGTTTAAGTTTTGATCAGTGTTTTGTGTAAAAATGCATTTATTTTCTGTTTTTGACCAATTTGTGTACATTTACATTCCTAAAGTGAAGACGCTGAAACCGAAACAAACTGAATATTTTATTACAGCGTTAATTGTTAGTTTTATAGACAATTTATAATTTGTTATCTTCGAGTTATCGTAATAATTGTTTACTCACTGTTTCACTTAATATTTTTAAATCCAATCTTTTATAATTTGAATGTATTTTAGTCTGCAATTTGGGGATAATCCGATTTAGACACAGCCATCCGTTTTGTGCATGAACATTATAAATAAATTCTTGATCGGCATTGTACGTGTTAATAAATTTACGTTGTTATACAATTTTTTAAGTGTTATAAGACGTTTCTTTTATTTACTTTCCGATAATGTATGACTAATCTCACAATCAACAATCATTGTAGGTCTAATGTAGGCTAGACCTAAATCTTACAAATGATATTGGATTAATTTATTATTTCAGTATATAATCTAGGGTATTATTTATTTTAATTCCTAAATGGTTAATTTTGCATATTTTTACTGCAGTGAAATATAAATAGATTAGATGGAAACTTATTATCCTAAGCACTTTAAGCGCATTCTTGTGGCTAAGATTTTTGGTTTTTAATACAAAAGTGAACTTTCTTCGTGAGTCAATAAGAGTTATTGAACTCTTTTGGGTTTAAGGACAACACATCCTGAACATGTATTAGATAAAATAGAAACTTATTATCCTAAGAACTTGTAAACTCATTCTTCTGGCAAAAAATTTCGTTTTAAGTTGAAAAGCGATCTTTCTTCGTGACTCAATAAATTTCGTTTTAATGAGAGACACCGAACAAAGAGGCAGTTCTTATTCTTATTTATGACTGTGTGTGATAAAATCTTGTATTCTCTCAGACATCTCATGTGTGACCGTTCTGTTGCAGAGTTGCCCGAAAAGCCGATTCTGCTGCCGCCGTTCGTGGACTCGGCGCATCGCCTGAGCTACCACCTGACTCGCAAGGGCCGCAGCGTGACCGACCGTGTCGTCTGCGTGCTGGGGTTCGCATGTCCTGATATCACCTACAGTCCAGCCATCTATCCCATAGCAGCGCTTCTATTGCATTTCATGTCTGGTGAGTTAGAGGTGTTCTAACACAATAGTTTGACCTTTTCGTCGAAGTTGATGATTTCGTCTATAAAAGTGTAGTACAAGTTGTATGACAGAATGAATACCGTAGGCATAAGACACAAACCGAGATCTAAAAGAGAAAAATGTTTATTCTAATTGTGATTGAAATGTCGATAAAATACCCCTTGATTAACAATAACTTATGATCAAATACCCCCGCCGCAGCAAACCTGCAGACTAAGCAAATTTCCATTTGCCTGATTGGATTTACACTAAAATGTCTCCTTAAAAATATCACATTTATTCCCTATTTAAATAACATTAGTTTAACAAGTACTTAGGTTTGCTGCAACAGGGAGGGTAAAAAGGTGTTTTTTTTTATGTAATAGTTTAGTATGAAATGAATGCATTTTCCAAATTTGATCAAAATATGTTCATAAACAAGCAAACTACAACAGTTTACTTATTCTCCATAAGAATAACATGGGAATTTTAAATTTACAGATTATTTAATTTTCTCCAAACCATTAGGCGCATAATAACGCTTCAATATACTAAATTATTAATTTTTTTTAAGCTCTACAAAATGGTTTGGAAAGAAATTGCTAAATTTTAAGTTTTTAGGTCAAAAATGGGAAAACCCAATGTTTACCCCATAAAACCCCACGTAAACCCCTGTTCCCATAGTCCGATAATGCTGGTTCGCGAACTCGTTCGAATAAACGTAGGTTTACGCCGAATTTCATCAAAATCGGATCATTTTTGCTCGAGAAAATATATCTCAATTTGAACGGATGGTGCTTTTTGCCTCTGGGGACCTCAAAACGAAAAAATAAATCTGTCCCGGGTCCAGGTCTTACCATGAGACCTACGGTAATAGCTTATTCCCTACATGGGAAATTCGCTAAAAACAAGCTTTCATTTTTTGGGATCTGAAATCTGAAATTGTCCTTAGGTGAGAAAAAAATACCTAAAACAATAAGATACATAATACGACTCAAACTGAGATCAAAAAGAGAAAAATGTTTATTCTAGTTAATTGTGATTGAAATTTCCATAAAATTCCCCTTGAATGACATATCATCAAAAATGAACTTTAAACTTCATATTTAGTTAGATGGAACAAAATTAATGTTAACATTTTGAACATCTCTTTGAAAGCGTACAAGGTTAAACAATAACTGTGAATCTCTGCAAAATAATTAACTAATAACTTACTTAAGTAATACCAAACAAAATTAAACTTAAAGTCTGTCAAATTAATAAAATACAAACCAAGAATTCAAGTGCTAATTAAGTTTTAAGGCTTAGTCACAGTAGTTGACATATCTTATCTAAAAATGATTGTAAATTATTGTAATTATTGTATTGTAAATTGCTGAATGAAATTTTGATGTAAATTGCAATTATTTAATTTCTTTTGTTGATTGATTTGTTGTCTGACGATAATTACAATAACACAATAGAGCAAGTTGGAAAAAAATAAATACAAAATGCTGGTGAAGAGTATCTTAAATTCGTAAAAATTTACAGTGGATATGTTTTATTTCCCTTTTTTAGGATCACCTTTAGTCACAATAAACTTATGGCATATTCCAAGAACCAAAAAGCAAACAATAACAGTGGAATGGTGATCAATTTTACCATTGTTGGTTGTAGATAACTCAGCATTAGTTGTCTTGTTAGCTTCATTGTCATGTCAGAATCAATGACAGGCAACTAGGGGCCATTAGAAAGCACATTCATTCTCTCCAACACTTAATGAAGTTGTTAAATCACCTTGACTGGAAAGATTTTGAAATGTATTGATATTTTATTGCACCACACGTAAAAATGGATTAACAAACCATCCAACATATAACCGTTGAAAGTAAACAAGCAGCTACAGAAAAGCTAAGATGATTTGAAATACAGATTTATAGAATACTAGCTGGCCCGACAGACGTCGTCCTGTCCTAATGTGGTTTTATGTCAAATGCTCGTTCATTTTCAAGATGAGCTTGTTCGCATGGCTCAATCACGTCCTGGTTGAAGTTCGTTGGCTACGCTCACTCACCTTAAGGTAGAAGCTCGTTCGCTGTGCTCACTTGCCTTTAGGTTAGCTCGTTCGCTACGCTAACTCGCCTCCAGGTGGAAGTTCGTTCGCTACGCTTACTCACCTTTTGGTTGCAAATTAGCTGTTGTTATAAATTTAAAAAAAATAATAGTGCTGCACCCTGTTGGTAAACCTATTAACTTTTTAACGCTATTGAACATCACACAATCAAATTGTTTAGTTGAACCAGCTGTTAAGATTCTTTAATTCCATTTAAATATGAGTACTCATAAGGTTAATATGGGAAACTCCAGAGCTACTGGGACGGAACCCTTTTGACGGATCTGCACCAAACTTCACACAAACCATCCTTGAATAATGTTTAATATTTCCTGAAAGTTTCATTACAATATGTCCAGCGGTTTCGTAGTCCATAAAGGACAAACAAACATACATACATTGGATTTTATATTTAATTCAACTGTTTATTGCTTGAAAGACCCAAAAAGAGTAATAAATTCAGTACAAACATATATCACATTCTTTTTTTTCAATCCTGACTGTTTTTGACATTTCAGTTGCACAAGTGTGTGTGGGCTGCATAATGACACTTTACAAAACTGTATTCTGTTTTGACATAGCCTCTGACCCCCCCCCCCCCCCCCAGATAAAACAAAAGCCACAATTGTTGGATGTGTGACGGCCATATTTTCCCTGCGCGCAGCACATCGTATACAAATGAAACAAAATTTTCACTCTATTTTTGGTCGATAAAAACTAACCTAATACCTATATTGACCAAATTTCTTTAGTTCAAGGTATTTTTGGCCCTTATTGAAGTATAGAATTCTCAAGAAACACATTGTTGTTTTATATCTCAAGATAGCAGGTGCTACTTGAGATTTAAAAGCTCATTCAGAAAATTCAAAATAAACAAGATGAAAGCCTGTTACGTTGTTATCATTGTTATTAAGCAGACCCAGAGGTTATCTCTTCAATAATTCCCCAGCTTTCCGAATGAAGTATTGCATTCTTAGACCAATTGTTGGTGTATTCTGTTAACTATGTTCTGATAATGATGTATTACTGTTAGTTTGTAAATACCATAGAGATATTTTCACTATTGAAACAAGGGCTCATTGATACAGGTTTAATTATTTTCTAGTAAAATGGAATAACTGTTTAAATCATTGGTAAAAAATAATGGGAATGGTTGATATCCTTGGTGAATAAATATGGACCGGCTGTTGAATGTAACTTATTGTCCACTTGTTGATTGTAAGAGTTTCTTATGATTTCCTAGATTTTCTCTCTTTATTTTTTGTATGTAAGAAATTAGTGAAATTTGTAATTGATTCTTAAATATACCCCCGCCGCAGCAAACCTGCAGACTTAGCGAATTTCCATTTGCCTGATTAGATTTAAACTAAAATCTCTCCTTAAAAATATCACATTTATTCCCTATTTAAACAGAATTAGTTTAATGAGTACTTAGGTTTGCTGCAACAGGGAGGGGAAAAAAAGTTTTTTTTTATGTAAAATATTAAAAGGGACTGTGGTTTGGTAAGAAATTAATGTATTTTCCAAATTTGATCAAAATATGTTCATAAACAAGCAAACTACAACAGTTGACTTATTCTCCATAAGAATAACATGGGAATTTTAAAATTACAATTTTTTTGAATTTTCTCCGTAACAATGAGGCGCATAATAACGCTTCAATATACTAAATTATTTGTTTTTTTAAGCTCTACAAAATGGTTTAAAAAGAAATTGTGAAATTTTGTGTTTTTAGGGTCAAAAATGGGAAAAACCTATTTTTACCCCATAAAACCCTCCATAAACCCCCGTTCCCATAGTCCAATCATGCTGGTTTGCGAACTCATTTAAGTTTATCCCGCCTTACACCTTCAAACCAAATTTTATCAGAATCGAACAAAAATTACTCAAGTTATCGTGCGGATGGACACATATACATATATATATATAAAAATTTGAACAAATGGTGTTTTTGGCCTCTGGGGACATCAAAATGAAAAAGTAAATCGGTCCCGGGCCTAGGTCTTACCATGAGACCTATGGTAATAGCTACTTCCCTATAGGGAAATTCGCTAAAACTAATAATTACATACTACATTGCTAAACTATTATAAAAACTATATCTACTGTCAAAACTACATCGAAAAACTATTGTCCATTTGCTGCATTTTGAGAACTCTATGACATTCTTTTGCATGAACTACAGATGTGCGTAACAATTGGAACAAGAGATCAATTTGGAATTATATCATCCAAAAGGAGGATGACCCCAAATCATCAGGTGTTTTAATTTATAAACAACGATCAAAATAATATTCATCATGTTAGTTGCATCTCATATCAGCAGGGGAATGGCTCCCATTCTGCTTTTTCCTAAGAACATATATTGTATATTGGTAGGCACTGGAAAATTTATGACTACACCACTGCATCTCATGGATATTAATTAGTTTTTGACAGCACCGAACAAACATCATTCAATTGCCTTATATTGGACATTTTCTTTACTCAAATAATAGTTTTTTTTCTTGGATATAGTCATCCAAGTGTTTTTACCTACTTGTTTATTCAGTTCAACAAGCTAAATATATAGCATTACAAATTAGTCTGTCTGTTGTGACTCATTGCTGGCAATGTTCTCTATAGGTCTCCTATTGTGTATTGTGATGCAATTGTTGTTGCACTAAGAATATCCTTTTGTCTGACATGTGATTTCAATTGAGAACCTTCTATTTGACCAATGGTTTGTTTTTTGCAATTTTTTTTTAATTTTCACACCCACAAAACTACTTTTTTAAATGTTTCAATGGTTAAATGTCATGGATATATTTCTGCAAGGTTGTGTAACAAACTTGGATCTGAATCATTACTAAATCACATTGATGAATCGATTTCTGACTCATTTATAAGTTATCAAAATCACATGTTGT